GCTCGTTCTTGTGAAAAATTAAATAAATATTTCTCTTACCTTATAACACGTGTGAGTCTGACTTTCTTGTTTAATGTGTTCTTCTTTTCCATAGATGATTCAACATAAAAATTGCTTTCTAGTTCTGGTACTAAAAAACTCCTGCTACACTATTTCTAAATTGAAAAGTGATGTTCACTAAATTATATGCCGAAGCGTGGGGTGTGATGCTTACCTTCTTTCTGCTGCTCTAGATACTTTCGCCTTTTCTACCCTGCTCTATATACTGGGGGCACTGACGTATATAGACCATATTAATGGGTTCACTTATCCTCTGGATTCTGATTTGGTTTCAATTATACTACAATGGGGAACCCTGGCAGCGTATGAGGAGGAAGTAAAGTTTGGGTATTTATTCTGCTGGCTCCCTTCCTGTTAGGTCACTACGGGGATTGGCTGTGTCACCTTACTGAAGCCTGTGTCTCCTGACAGGTAGTCCTCTCTGTTCAGCTACTCTCTCCAGGCTCTGATGGCTTCTTCTTCTCCTACTTGGATCTTCTGCCTTAGGGATAGTAACAACTCTGGGTGTTCTGTCTTTGGGACATACTTGCCCTATTTCTTCCTGCTTTCCCTATTTCACATCTTTATAAATGGTCCCTTTTGTTAAACTCTTTATCTAGCCAGCTTGAGTGTGCCATCTGTCTCCTGCCAGGACTCTGACACATACACATGAGGAGGGGAGTATGTGAGGGTTGAGAAAGTCTTCAAGAATTGGTCCTTCATATTAAAGACTCCAATGTTAGGAGGGGTTATGATATTGCATGTCAAATTCCTGATGCACCTGACTCTAAGTGGGGGAAAGTAAACAAGTTGATACTCAGCAAAGGAAGTTAATACAGTATTGCACAATACTCAGTCAATATTTGCACTAGAGTGAAAGGTAATACAGGTATTGTCAAATTAATTTTTAGTTTCAAAGAGGCATTTTTCTTGAAAGAAACAGAAATGGATGGGAGCTGATCCCCACAAGTTACAGAAATCGTAGAGCAGCTTTTAACTATCCCCTCACCATTGTTATGAAAACAACCTAACGAGGATCTCACTGAAGGATAATTTATAAATGTCTTCTCACTTTAGCATGTGTAAAATTTATTTAATATGTAAATTCAAGTATATCTCTGTATTCCATGAATTTATCATAAATTATTTTTTCTGTAGCCTTTTATATTTAATTCACAATTTTAGCAGTGTAAGTTTTATTTTTATCATCTATACTGCTATGTTGAATAGAAATTTAGTTTCTAAGAGGATATCTGTTAATGTGTAGGTTTTCTTCATGTGCTTTTTTTCCTTATGTAGTTTTG